GCTCCTGTGCTGGCGTCGCGCACGGCTTCAGCACTGGCGTGGAGTCCGCCGCAGAGCCCAAGATACGCTGGCCCGTGGGCGAGGACTGAGCACCACTGGAGCTGAGGTGCTGGTCCGCAGGGGTGTCCCTTCTGTGGGCCACCTCTCCACCTCCGCCAAGCTGAGATGTCCCCGTGTGGGTCATCCCGTCGAACCTAACGGGGTGAAGGCCCACACAGCCTCAGTTTCCTCGCCAGCGAGACAGCTACCGTTACTGAGCACGTCTGTGTCCACGGCACCAAGCCTTGACATGACTCTACCATGTCACACACTTCCTGAGCTAGGGTCTGTGACCAGCCGCATTTCTCGTTGAGGAAACTAACGCTCAGAGGGGCAGAGGGACTGGCTCAGGGCTGCAGGGCTGGTCGGCAGCCCACATGGATGGCACCGGACCGCCAGGCACCCGAGAGTTGGGCACCCGCACACGCGCTGAGCACAACGCAGGCCCCTCGCGAGTGCCGCTGTGACGTAACTGCCCCAGCGTCCCACCACAGAAGTCCCTGGGCCCTGCACCGACCTCCCCTCCGTGGCTGGAGCTCTGCCTGCCGCCTTGCAGATGTTCTTGACAAGAGCACTCACATTCTGGTGACCCCGGGAGGCAGAAGGATTAAGGACGTGATTGGAGGGGACTGGGGAGGGACATGAAGGTGACTTCTTGGAATGAGAACACGAGGACACAGGTGGCAGCTCGGCTTCGGAGCACTCCCAGGGGGTGGCGGCCCAGAAGTGCTCCCCACCTGCTTCCAGCCCTCTGTGCTAAGGAAGCAGGGAAGCGGGAGCTGAGCAAGCAGATTGCTCATGGAGCAAACTCCTTCAAGGCCGGACTTTGATCCCGGGAATGGAGGTGTTCCTGTCCCGCTCTCCCGGGTAATCTGTCTGCCCGAGAGCCTGGCAGAAGTCCTCTCTGGTCATGGCTGCTGCTGCTCCTGGGACAGGGGGTGTCTCGAGCCTCGGAGGAGGAGGGCAGGGGGACACAGAAGTAGGGGCTCCCCACACCCCTCACCTCCGGGGCCATTGCTGTCTCCCTGTGGCTGTTCGACCCCGCCTGGGTAGGGGAAAGGGGTCCTGCTTCGGTGGCTCCTCTGAGAAAGCAGCCCCCACCTAACACCGCGTGCTTTACCCCAGGTGAGGAAGAGGAAGAGTTCACAGAAGAAGAGGAAAATCAGGAAGAGGAGGAGCCCGCAGAAGGGCAGGAAGAAGGTAGGAAGCCCTCCCACCGCCTCTCCTTGGCCACCCCTTCCTGCCTCGTCCCACGGCACGAGGGGCTGACTGTGCTGGCCCTGCTTCCACCGTCCCCTTCCCAGGGTGGGTCTCGTGTGTGTGGTGGTTGCTGCTTAGTTTTGCTATAGAGTACGAGTGCTCACCAGAGAGAGAAAGTGAAAAAGCACCCCTGAGTGGGGTGACACCCACATCCTTTCTCCTCCATTCTCCTCGCAAGATGTGGGTCGTAACGCGTGTGCCTGGTACAGTTTTCAAGCCTTCAGGTCTGAGATTCGGACTGAGGAGTCAGCCATGTGGGAACTAGCACCTTAGCTACTATGCCACCTGCTGGACTCCCAGGACTTGTTTGTTGAGAGGTTTTTGCCATAAGATGCGTGCGCTCGCCCGACAGAGAGAGACAGAGAGACAGAAAACGAGAAGTCACCCCCCAGGGGGATGGCCATGCCTCAATCCCTTTCCCTCTATTCTCACGGGATCTTGGGCATGCATGCACACGTGCCCGGCGTGAGTTTAAGCCACCGGGTCCGGGACTCAAACCGTGGTTGACTACATGGGAATCCAGCGACATAGCCATTACGCTAGCTGCTAGTCCCAGTATTTGTTTTAAACCTATTCAGAGTAAAGTCCTGTTCCCTGTGCCCTTAGAGAAAACCCCCGACTGCCCGTAATACAAAGCGTGCGTCTTACATCTAGGTGACCTCCCTAGATGGGAAGCCGTGCGTGAGAGGCACTAGGCGGCCATGCCAGGCCGGTCTAAACATCTCGTGTTCTTAGCGGGGCCGGCAGGTGGCGTGGTGGTTGAGGCACTGGACTCCCACGTGTGTCCTGGGATGGTGTGTCCACGTGTGTTCTGTGATGATATCCAAGTTCTTGGTGTTTCAGACAAAGAGTTGAATAAAACGTGCAAATATGTAAAGAAAAGGTAGTTTATTAGGTAAAAGTGAAAGTACACTCCTGAGAGGTAGGTGCAGGCCTGGGAGGACAGAGAAAGCGTGGCTCAAAAGGCCCCTGCAGTTGCATTCTGCAAGGTTTATCATTTTTAATCTAGATCATGTCAGTTGATCATTGGCTGGGCCCCTGGATTGTCTTGATCTCATTGGCTCTATCAAAATGTGACCAGGCCTGCTGATTTCTCACTGGCTGTTTCAGATGTGGCTTAGCCTCCTGATGGGACGCATTGGCTCTATCAAACGTTTAATCAGCTAGACTTCCCTCACTAATCTCCTGTCTACATGACCTTGGGCAGGAAATTTTCTGCCCTGATTGAGTTTTTCTGTCTAGCCACATGGGCAGATGCTCCCGCCCCCTTACCTGCTTCCATTTGCTATTTATTATCATTATTCTTTAATTTTAACTAGAGACAGACAGAGAGAAAAGGAGAGTGAGAAAGTAAGCTGCCAGGTCCAGGACTAGAACCATGGGCAGCCACGTGGAAGTCCAGTGCCTCAACCACCACGCCACCTGCTGCCCTCCCCCCCCTTTTTTTTTTTGCTACAAGGTACATGTGCTCACCAGAGAGACAGACAGAAATCATCACCCAGGGTGGATGGCCACACTGCAACTCCTTTTCCACTCAGAATTTTGGACATGCACACACACCCGGTGTGAGTTTCCAGCCTCAGGGTCTGGGACTTGAATGGCTGTCGGCCACGTGGGAGTCCTGCGATGTAGCCAGTACGCCATCGCTGGCCCAGGTTTATCATTTTTAATCTAGGTCATTTCCACTGGTCGTTGGCTGGGCCCATTGATTGTCTTCATCTCATTCGCTCTATCCAATCTGGCTGGGCCCACCCTTTCTTTCTTTTTTTTTTTTTTTTTTTTTTTTTAGAGAAGTTTTTACATGCATGCAGTTGCTGGGGAGACAGAGAAAAAGGGAGAAAGAAAGGAGTGAGAAATCACCCCCAGAGGGGATGGCCGCACCACAGTGCTTTCTCCTCCGTTCTCCTCTTAGGACTTTGGGCACGCACACACAAACACCAGCATGTGTTTTAAGCCACTGGGTCCGGGACTCGAACCATGGTCAACTACGTGGGAGTCTAGCGACATATCCATTACGCCATCTGCTGATCCCCAGGCCCGCTGATTTCATTGGCTCTATCAAATGTGGCTTAATCATCTAGACACACCCCACTAATCTGCCTACATTACCATGGGTGGGGAATTTTCTGCCCGATCGGGTTTTCCATGTAGTCACATGGGAAGATGCTCCAGCCCCTTCCCCACTTTCATCTGCTAGCTTTCTGCTGCCTCACATGGCCGAAACGCTTTGAGTCCCAGACATGGGGGTTGGTTTCTCACTTTCCCTCTCTTTCTCTGTCTGCAGTCAAATTAAAATCATATTAATAGTAATAAATGAAATTAAATAATCATTAAACAACAACAGAAAAAAACTGTTTAAAAAAAATAACAAAATGCTCTTAGGAGCCAGCCAGTGGTGTAGTGGTGAAGGCGGTTAATCTATATGCCTGACACGCCTGACGGTGCAGTTCGAGTCCTGGATCCACAGCTTGAAAAACATGCCGGGCGCATGTGCTTGCGTGCCTGAGACCCTGTGGAGAGCAAGCAAGGGCTTGCTGTGCGGCGACGCCCGCTCTCCCTCCCCCACTATCCAGAGCACGCACTACAGCAACAACAGAAAGCTTCAACTGGGAGCCAGCAGTTAGCGTAATGGCTATGTTGCTGGACTCCCACGTAGTCGACCGCGGTTCGTATCCCGGACCCGGTGGCTTAAAACTCACGCTGGGCACGTGTGCGTGCGTGCCCAAGATCCCGAGAGGAGAATGGAGGAGAAGGGATTGCGGCGTGACCATCCCCCCCTGGGGGGTGATTTCTCACTTTCTGTCTCTCTGTCTGTCTGGTGAGCGCACACACCCTATAGCGAAAACCTCTCCAAAAAAAAAACAAACAAAGTTTCAACTAATAAATGAGTTCCTAGCGTCAACCTACGAAGACAGGCGTAAGAAGACTGGGGCTCGTCTGAGCCAGGGCACAGACGGATCATCCGGAGGAGCAAACTCTGTGCTCCTAGCCATGAGGTCAAGGAACCAAGGGCCAGGAACCCTGGGGGAAGGGCGAGGACGGGAGGGTACACGGTGTTTCTTAAGAATTCACATCGGATCATTTAACGTAATGCAGGAGACTGACTGGCCAGGCCTTATCCTTCCATCACTGGGAGACCGGCTGGGGTTAAGGAGGGTGGGGCCACACTGTACAGCCTACCCCTGCCCAGCGAGGTCATTTATTTACTGTAAACTAAAACGTGCCTCTGGGGCAATTGTCTGCTTGGGGGTTGTGGCCCAAAGCCAATGTCTCATGTTTACTTGGGATTTTAAAAGTCTGATTTTTTTTTTTTTTTGAGAGATTATTGCTGTAGGGCGCGTGCGCTCGCCAGACAGACAGAGAGAGACATAGAGACAGAAAGCGAGAAATCACCCCCCAGGGGGGATGGTCACGCCGCAATCCCTTCTCCTCCATTCTCCTCTCGGGATCTTGGGCACGCACGCACACGCGCCCGGCGTGAGTTTTAAGCTATCGGTCCAGGACGCGAACCGCGGTCGACTACGTGGGAGTCCAGCGACATAGCCATTACGCTAACTGCTGGTTCCCAAAGTCTGATTTTTTTTTTTAAAGAGAGATTTTTGCTATAGGGCCTGTGTGCTTGCCAGAGAGACAGAGAGTCGGAGAGACAGAGGGTCAGAGAGACAGAAAGTGAGAAATCACCTCCTGGGGGGATGGCCAGTCTGCAATGCCTTCTCCTCCATTCTCCTCTCGGGATTTTAGGCACGCAAGCTCATGTGCCCGACGTGAGTTTTAAGCCACTGGGTCCGGGACTTAACCATGGTCAACTATGTGGGAGTCCAGTGACATAACCAACACGCCATTTGCTGGTGCCAGGCTTTTAAAAGTTGGAAAGGACCCGGTCACGAGGTAGTGTGACAGTTACGATGGCTGAATCGCAAGTGGCTGACTGCCATATGAGTTCCAGACCCGCGTGTTTGAAAAGCACACCGGACACAGGTGCACATGTACCCAAAATCCCAGAGGAGACTGGAGGACAAGGGATTGTAGTGTGGCCATCCCCCCGGGGGGTGCTTTCTCACTTTTTCTTTCTTCCTCTCGGAGTGCATGTAACCTATGGCAAAAAATCTAAAACATAAAAATCAAAATGAAAGGTCTGCCTGGCGGCATATTAGCAGGACTTTGAAAGGCTGTGGTGGAGACTGAATCAGGCAATCATTGAACGCAGGGCCTGCACACGGGAAGAGTATGTTCCCGGCCCTCGGTTCTCAAGTCAGTTACTGGGAGTAAATTATAAGCCAGCTGGAGACACAAGGTCGTCTTTGGTGTTTTGCAGGGCTATGCGACTCACAGTGGTTTGGCAACTGAGTTCCCTTTTGGCTTTAGAAGGAAGAGACCAGGCAGGCCTTGGAGATTGCTGGTGATTTGTCACTGTAGCGTGGGAAGCCCGGAGCTCTCCTGGCCCTGTCTCACCATGTGCCTGGTTGTCTTTTTATTTCAGGACACCAGTAAGGAGCTGCGTGACCAAGCAACCCTCTGGATGAAGAGAAAGGGGAGGGTGGGGATGGGCCCAGCTGTCTTGAGACAGGCCCAGGGTGGGAGGGGTCGGGCCCCGGAGGGGAATGGGAAGGCGGGTCTTCTGTGCTCAGAGCACAGGGACTGGGGTGGGATCCCCACCACCGCGTCCAGCAGCCACTGAACCAGAATCAGAAACATGCTTGAGACAGTCACACCGGACACTTTTCTACCTGGTGCAAAATGCAATATTTTGTACATTTTTAAAATGTGATTTTTTTTTGTATATACTTGTATATGTATGCCAATTTGGTGCTTTTTGTAAAAGAATTTTTGTATGACAATGCCTCCTCATTGTGCGAACCCGCTGCCACGGTGGAAGGAAGCGCTTTCCCTGGAGCACTCAGGGCCTAGGAGGGATGATGTGCTGTACTCCGTGCCTCACCACACACGGGCACGTGATGTTCCATGTTGCTTTAATAAAGGCACAGCGCTCTCTTCCTGTAGTCAGAGGACCCGGAGTTTCATTCGGCCTCTTCTCCCGGAGAGAAGAGGTCAGGCGAGGGGAAGGTACACAGAAGGCTTTCAAAGCAGCAGCTCCCAGCCTCACTGGCCTTCAGGTGATCCTCAGATAAGAGGTCCGGTGTGGGCTTGCTCCTGGGGCTCCGGAATGCAGAGTCTACGCTCAGGGTATAACCCCGGGACAGACAGGAACATGGAAACAGGAAGGAAAATACAAGGTGGTGTTCAAAAACAAAAGCGATGACAATTTAGTTTAAGGAGTTTTGATTTATTTTTCTTTTTCTTTTTTTTTTTTTTTGGCTAGAGGGCACATGCGCTCACCAGTGGAAGAGAAAAGGAAAGTACCCAATGGAATGTGGTCGCACTGCAATCCCCTCTCACCTCGCCATCCTCCTTCTCGGTCCCTCCATCCTGTGGGGACTCGGGTGCTCAGTGCCAGTGCTCTGTGCGTTTCCAAGCTGCCAGAGTTTGAACCGTATTGGCCACGTGGGATCCAGCTCCCCTAACCAGGGCCAATTCTAATGGAAAGATCTTTGGCTTCATTTGTAGTTCTAGAATCTGGGGGCAGGCAGTCCTTCCCATAAAACAGAGTAAGTGGGGGGGGGGGCAGCTGGTGGCACAGCGGTCGAGGCGTGGGACTCCCACATGGCCAACCAGTTTGAGTTCTGTACCTGGAGGTTTGCTTTCTTACTTTCCCTCTCTCTTTGGTCAAATTAAGTAATAATAATAATAAAACCCAGAGTAAGTGTTCCACAGAGTTACATAGCAGAGATTGGTTTTATAGACAGGGAGGGAATAAACAAAGCTATGGCAATTTAGTTTAAAGATGTTTATTATTTATGTAAGTTTTTGGCTTTGTTTTGTTTGTTTTTGCCGTGGGGCATGTACTCACACACTTGCTGAAGAGAGACAGAGAGAGACAAAGGGAAAGCGCGGACTCACCCTCCAGGGGGATGGCCACGCCACGATCCCTTCTCCTCCATTCTCCTCCTGGGATTTTGGGCAGCATGATCTTCAAGTCGGGCGGTCCAGGACTCAAGCTGCAGTTGGCCATGTGGGAGTCCAACACCTTACCTACCACACCACCTGCTGGCCCTGCAGATTGGTTTTTTAAATTGCTATTCTTTGTAAGATGGAGACCAGGAGACAGAACAGTAGGAAAATGACTGAGTGGTCACTATTGGGTTACTTCTTTTGTTTAAAGAGTGAGACCGAGGGAACCTTATTACTACGCTGATTAGAACTGGCCGGTCTGGAAACGAGGCTGTTGCCCTGAAGGCCAGGTAACAACCAGCTTTGGTTTGGGCACATGGAGACACAAGTGAATCCATTTTGCTCTTCAGTCTGGTCTGCAGGGGCCCAATGCAGGAGTTTGGTTCAAAACTATGGTCTCACCAGACCCACGACTAAATCCCACAGGAATCCCACAGGGCCCACCAGGGTTAAAGTCCTACCCCTGGTATCTTAAAAGACATGCTTGGGGCCAGCAGGTGGTGTGGTTGTTAAGGTGTTGAACTCCCACCTGAGTGACCACAGTTCAAGTCCTGGACCTGGTGACTTGCTTCTCACTTTCTCCGTTTTTCTCTGGTGACCACACGTGTCCTATAGCAAGTTGAAATAATAATAATAATTATAATAAAATAATAAATTAAAGTAATAATTCTAAAACCAAAACAAAAAAATGCCTATGCCCAGAACCCTGACAGGATAAAGTGGAAGGGAAAGAATGGTGGCCTGAGCACACCCCCTGGGGGTACTCTCTCCCTCTCTCTCTCTCTCTCTAACGCATACCTTCTGGCTAAAAAATAAACAACAAACAAGCACAATAGCCTCCTATAATTTTTAACAGTGTCACATTATGGAGCTGGCCACCAAAGACTTGGCTGGTCACTTAGGCATGTGAGTTGTTTTCAGCAGACCATAAAGAACACAACGTGATTCAGAACAGTTCACCCTGGGCCAAGGCAAAGAAAGGTGCGCGGGCGCCTTCCTGCCGCCCTCCAGACCCACTCCCCCTGTCCTCCACCGAGCGTCCCCAGGCCCCTCTGGGCAGCTGGGGAAGCTGGGTCACTCCATGTCCTCTTCGGCTTCCCTGAAGTCAGGAAGGGATGGGAGGAGCCGGAGCCTAGCGGGCCAGTCGGGCCAGGGTGCTGAGCGACTGGCCCCTCGCAGTGCCCGCAATGGAGCCAAGCCGGAGCCCAGGCTCGCTCCCGGCGACCAGGCAGCGTCCAGCAGGGAGATGAGGGCAGGGCGGAGCCCCAGGATCCCTGGGCTCTCCACCAGCAGGAGGCAGCGAGGCTGTGCCAATCGGAAGCAGGTCATTACCTGGGTGTGGCACAGTGTGGGCTTACAACTCTGAGGATCACCATAGTGTCCGTCCCTCCTTTTAGGGAGCGGGAGCAGTCCTGTACAGAAAGCGCCTTCCCTGTAGACCAGGACCATCACCTTCAGGGGCTTCCGGTGTTGCCTGCTTCCTAAGTCTTTTCATTTTTTTTTTTTTAGAACTATTTATTTATTTAGGGTTTTTTTTTTGAGAGGTTTTGGCTACAGGGTGTGTGCACTTTCCAGAAAGAGACAGGGACAGAGAGACAGAAAGTGAGAAATCGCCCCCCAGGGGGGATGGCCACACCGCAGTCCCTTCTCCATTCTCCTCTCGGGATCTTGCGCACGCACGCACACGCACCCGGCGTGAGTTTAAGCCACCGGGTCCAGGACGCGAACCGCGGTCGACTACGTGGGAGTTCAACGACATAGCCATTACGCCAACTGCTGGTCCCTATTTATTTGTTTTAAATAACTCCTTATTTAGTTTTTGTTTGTTATTATTGTTTTTAATTTGACCAGAGAGAGGCAGAGAGTGTGTAGGAAGATGGGAAAGCAAGCTGTCAGGTCCAGGACTCAAACCACGGTCAGCCACGTGGGAGTCCAGTGTCTTAACTACCACTCCATCTGCTTGTCCCAAGTTTTTTAATATGTTTTGGGGGCTCGAATACTTAGCATTTCCCAACTTATGTACTCAAGTGGCGTGCAGCAGAACTAGTGTTCTGTGGAACTCACTTTTAGAGAAGTGCTCTAAACCCTCATGCCTCTGCCTGTTTTTATTGCTGCAGTTTTCCTAAGGCTACCTTGGTCTCTGACTTCGAATTTCAAGGAGTCAGACTTTGTTCTCATTTCTAGAGCCTTCTCAAGTCCTAAAACGTATCGTTTTAATTTTTTTTTAATTGCATAAATCTGCCCCTGGCCTGGCTAAAGGAGCTGGGTCTCACATGGCTGACCACACAGTTTGAGTCTGGACCCGGCAGCTTGGAAGAAACACAGGTGTATGTGCGTGTGTGTGTGTGCCCCAAATCCCCAAAAGGATGGAGACGTGGAGAAAGAATTGCAGTACGACTATCCCCCATCGGAGCTGCTTTCTCCCTGGCTCTCTGTCTCTTTCTCCCTCTGGTGAGTGCATGTGCCCTTTGGTTAAAAAAAAAAAAGAGGAAAAGAAATCGTGGGGCAACTATGCTTGGTGGTTGAGGCACTGGATCCCACGTGGCCAGTTGCGTGGTTTGAGTCCTGTACCTGGCAGCTTGAAAGATACACCTGGCACACACCTGTGTGTTCACACTCAGAATCCCAAACGGAGGGGGAAATGGAAGAGAGAGAATGACAGCGTGACCAGGCCCGTAGGGAGGCCTTTCTCATCTCTCCTTTCTGGCTCTCCCCTCTGTCTCTCTCTCTGACGAATGCACACACCCTCTGGCAAATACAAAAATAAAAATTGTGTAAGACACACATATACACACACAAAGAAACTAGTTGCAGATTTTAATCAACACTTGTAAAAGAAACCCTGTGTTACACCACCCAGATCAGGAAAAAGAGCATCAGGAGTCCCCGGTGGGCAGAGCTAGCAAGGCCTATCTGTGTGCCCCCTCCCGTGACAGCTCCCACTCCTGCTGGGTGACAGCCACTTTCTTGTCTTTTTTGGCAATCACACGCTTGATTTTTTTCTGGTTTTATCTCCCATAGGAGACTGCAGGGGTGGGAGGCCAGAAAACGCCTGACATCACAAGCAGTGTCACCGAGCACAGGGGGTCTCCAGGTTACTTCTCCGGGGACCGACGCCCATGGGAAATGAGTATTGCAGTCCCCTATGGGGTGAGAGGGCGGTCAAGACCCTGCGGTCAGTCGGAGTGTAAGCTCTAGGAAGGGACCGCTCGTCACCCACACCAGGGGCTCTTCGCGTCCTTGCAGACTGAAACACCTAAGGTCGAAGGGCTCCTGAGCAACGAGCTTCCTTTAAGATCATGCTGCAAGCGGCCCGCTGGCGGTGTGGTGGCTGAGGCTGGACTTCCCACAGGGCTGTCTGTGGTTTGAGTCCCAGACCCGGTAGTTGAAAGTCACACCGGGCACATGTGCATACATGCCCAAAATCCCAGGGAAGGGGCTGCCGCATGGCCGTCCCTCCGGGGAGTGGCTTCTCACTTTCCCTCTCGCCACCTTCCTGTCTTCTTCCTCTTTGGTAAGCACATGCACTCGCTGGCAGAAACCTTACAAAAGAAAAGGAAAGATCACGGGCAAGGGAGGAAAACTGACTTCAAAGGGGCTTCCCGCAGGTACAACATCAAAATCGCCAGAGCCGTTTATTTTTGCCCTTCAGCGTTTAATTTGGGAAAGCTTAAAAATACTGACAGTAAGGGAATAGCACAGCATAACCCTGCAGATGCAAAGGGTTTTGCTGTGTGAGGTTTGCGGAAAATCACTGGCAGACCGAGAGGCAGGGGGGGG